ATAGTCCCAAAACTAGATCTAGCATAATGAACCATCAAGTAGAGAACTTTATACCTCAAATGACTTGCAAAGATGATGGTGAATTTGGATCCACAAGCCTAAGCTACTACTAAGAACCACCAAGAGTTCTTCTTCTTCTTCTTCTTCTTCTTCTTTCACTAAAACACCGCCAAATCTCACTTTCAAGCTCAAATTTCACAGGAGGCACTTAGGGTTTCGTTTTCAGGGTATAGGGTGATGGAGGGTGATAATTAGAATGTCCAAAGGTGGTTTAAGTTGTTTAAATAGGGTGCAAACCTCAAACATTAGGGTTTTTCCATGCACCACGTACGACATGCATCCTCCACGTACGCCCTGCGACTAGTAAAGAGCTAGTACGCTAAGCGTACTCATAGAGTATGGCCCATGTTGTCACACCCCCGAACCGGACGGAGGAAACGTCCGAGGGCTCGCGTGACTTAAATTGAAATATCATCACAATGAATATACATGAAGCATAACATAAACATCACCATGCATTAATACATTACAACTGACATTGTTCACATCAAGTACATTGTCTAAATATTACATATTCATAGCGTAAATTGTTTGAGAGTTTTCAAAACATAACTTCCTATCACACTTGGTATTTTTCTTCAGCTTATCTGTTACCTGAGAATACAAGTTAATTTAAAAAGGTCAACATATAGAATGTTGGTGAGTTCATAAGCAGGTTTGATATGAAAATGTTGTGTAGTTTATAAGACCCAGAAAATCCGATATTTTCTAAAACGACAATTGTTTATACAAAAAGTGTGAAGATCCATAGGTATATGCGTGAATGATTTCAAATTGTGTATAAATGAGAAGTTTTGCATTATAGTTATTGAAAGTACAAGTGAATGATGTTGGTTTCCCCTGAAAACCCGATGTTTTCTGATAAAACAGTATAATCGTTTTATATTATTGTATCGTCGCATCGAATAAATATGATTTCCCCTGATTACTTAGATGGTATTGGATTTTTATGTGAGTCATTATAACCATGCATGATAATGATTAGTTCGTCTGTCTTGGCATTCTAGTGAACGTCGGAATTGATCTTAAGATTTTGTCACCCTAGACTGGCCGAGTCTAACTGTAGCGAACAACTTAGGTGTGGGGGAGTCACCCCCGTATAGATCTATACACAAACTCTCGCTCTCCCTCCAGGAGACTTTGATTGTAACTACAGACTACGACCAACACTTATCGGTGTCGTCCGTTATTACTCACTTGATCCAAATGAATTTGATTAACGACTTGATTTTTGTTTACCTGAATAGAAGGTAAGCCTAATAGACGAGGAGAAGAGGGCCACGAGGTCCTACTAATCACGTATGTTATTTAAGGCTGTCGAGTACACAAAGGGCGTGTTGGCCTATTTCACATATGATTTATTTGGACCTTACTAGCAATGCTAATGGGCCAATGAGGCCCAATAGCATGTGAAAGCCATTAAGGGTCCCTTAAGCATGTAATTGGGTCACAGGAGGCCCAATAAACATGCATTATTTATGTTAGGCCCAAAAGTCATGTTAATAGGTCACGAAGGCCCAATAAGCATGATTAGAATCTTTCAAGCCCAAAAATTTGAATGTTTACTTGTTTTGTATAGTATAAATGTCGGAAAATTTTGTGTGATAATTGTTGAATCGCAAAGGCACAAAGTTTGTCGATTGTTTTATAACGATATTTAGATTTATGAAAATATATGTATATCTTTCATTCTAAATCCGTAAGTTATAATATGATATTTTTGACACAAAACAAATCTTAATAATAAAATAATCGACTCAAAAATATTGGTTTGACCTATTCAACCATTCTTTAATAAAAATGACAATCTTAGTCCTTTTTATAGAAAAAAAATGACATTTTAGGTCCTTGAACTGTTTTTCTTGACATTTTTGGCTCAAAGATTTATTTAAAAGACATTTTCAGCCCAAAGTTTACTTTTTGGCAGTTTCAACCCCTTTAGTAAAAATATTTTCATTTATAGCCCAAACTTTTCGCAATTTTCACAAATTTGACCCAAAATCCAAAAACTTTACATTTTTAATCCTTTTTGGAAAATAAGGTCATTTTAACCCCTGAAATAGATTTATTTACTTTTCTCCCCACTGTTCTGAGAAATTTACCATTTCAGCCCTTGCAAACCATTTTTTCGCATTTTGGGCCTATGGGTCGAAAAGCCCAAAGTTTGGCCCAATAGACTACAATTTACATTTCTGGTCCTTTGAAGAGGATTATTCAGAAAAGATTCTATTTTAACTGTTTTGACCCTTTTGGTCCTTATAAAAATCGTAAATGACAACTTTTACCCAACTTTTGTTTATTTGACAAAAATAGTCAAAAAATGAGTTTTAAGTTGTAGTATGCTTATTATAACCTTAGATGATAGTTTTTATTAACATGTTAAGTGTAATACATCCTAGATCACATATTTTTTTTCTCCTTGAACCATGGATCTCGAAATATCTTTCATTTTTGATACATATTTACCATATAAACACAAAGAAAATCACACATAACATACAAATACACATAGATCTACACATTTTACTTGTATTCTCCCCCATAAAACATATGAAACCGAAAATAGAGGGGTATGAACTCACCTTAGGTTTGTGGGTTCGGTTTTGAAGAAAGAAATGGAAGAAGTTTTTGATCCTAGCAAGCCTCTTAGAGTTGATCTCGAAATTAAAAAGCTTCTAACGAATAGATCACGAAAATTGTGTGAGTTAGGAAGAAGTTTTGATGAAATAAAGAAACTAGGTTATGGATCTAAACAACAACTTACCAAAGATGATGGTTTTTGTGGAATAATTCTTAGATCAACACACATGCATATACGATATTTAGTGAGGAAATTGAGAGACTTTCCTTGGAAAATTTAGAGAGTGTAAGGTGTTGAAAATGAAGGAGTGTGGTGGTGGGGAATGGCTCTCAGCAATAAGTAGGGAGAGAGAGAAAGAGATTAGAAAATTTTGCATGATGGATAATAGTGTTCTAGATGCATGAGATTATCTAGATACATGCTAGCTAATCATGAGTTGTCATGTTCTTAATCCCCCCCTTCTTCCATTCTTTATATATATATATATATATATATATATATATATATATATATATATATCTTGGGCCGAAAAAAAGAAAGTAAGGTGTAAGGATAATTAATTTGGGCTTGATTCTTATAAAGTGAAGCCCATGTAGATGTTTCTCGGTCCATTGGGCCTTTAGAGTAGTTCACAGCCCAATTCTTGCACAAAGGAATGGATTTGAGTCCTTTAAGGCTAATTGGATTTGTTTTGGCCCAATAAGGCCCATTAAAGATAAACTAGTCCATTTTAGGCTTATAAGGCCCAAAAAGGTTAAGTCTCATGAGAGTGTGTGCAATAAGAGCCCATTTACGAGTTCTAAGCCCAAAATAGTCAAATTGGAAGTTTATTGGTCCATTAGGCCCAATAAGAAAATCCTAGTCCATAATGGACTTAAACCGGGATCTCTAGGGTTTCCAACCATTTGTTGACTATTTGAATGTTTGTACAGAGTGTTTGATGGAAATTTTGTTGTCATTGAATAAACATCATACATGCTTTCAGATTTTAATCACAATGTTATCTTTGTTAAGTGTTTACAAAGCATTAGAATTCCTAGTTATGACACATGTACTAGTTAGGAACCAAAATGAAAAGGATTTTATGTTAAGGGTTTATAAGGAAACTTACCAAATTCCGAATGTTACAATTCTCCCCCACTTGAATTAGAATTCTTCCTCGAAGTCTGTTTCCCCAGCTAACTCTAGGTAGTGCTCCCTCATCTCGTCCTTCAACTCTTACGTCCATCCTGAACCCTTGCGATGCTACCACTGAATTTTCACCAGCTCAACAACCTTGTTCCTCAAGGTTTTTGTCTTTCGGTCGAGAATCGTTACCGGTCTCTCGATATAATTCAGGCGATCATCCACCAGAATATCCTCCAATGGAACCACTGCGGAATCGTCCGCTAGAAATTTCCACAACCGAGAGACGTGGAACGTGCTATGGATCTGACTAAGCTCCTTGGGTAGATCCAAGCGATAAGAAAACCGGATCACCCGGGCAAAAACCTTGAAAGGACCGATGTACCTGGGGGCCTAATTTGCACCTTTTCCTGAATCGGATGACACCTTTCCAAGGTGACACCTTCAGAAGAACCATATCCCCAACCTGGAACTCTAGATCTGATCGACGCTTGTCGCTATAGCTCTTTTGCCGACTTTGAGCTATCTGGAGTCTACGCTGAACCTGCTGAATCAACTCAATAGTTCACCTTTAACTTGACCCTTTAGGAAGCACCCATCCAACCATATAGCCCTCCTGCACCCTATTTTCCAGCAAACACGTAAAGATTTGAAACAAATGTAAAACCTTTGAAAATAATTCTTCTCATTTGGATTGGTAGTGACACTAACTTTGCATGTAAACCCAAGGTTTAATGTCAACAACTCTTGGGCGTAATCCCAAATTATTGCATAGTGTTTAGTTAATTTACCATCAATCAGTTCCTTTGCCCATATTTTTGCCCTTCTTACTTGTCCTATAGATACCATACATATCTGTACTTTTGTTTGATGTCACTAATCATCTCCCTAAATTTAACTTTGGGCTTATTTTCTATCATAGTAACATAGTGTCATCCAATCTTTTCCGGGGTAACAGTAGACCCACATTTAAACACTATATAACAAAGATGCTTATAATTCATTTTTTTTTTAACCTAGAAGGTTCTTTCATTGTACATCCAAGTTGTATAAATTCTAAATGGGCACTTATTATCTTCTTCATCTCTCTTACCACATTTTACAACAATTCTTCTATTGTCACTCTTTTGAAAGTATATCTCTACCCTCCATTTACTACATAGTTTGTCACACAAAATTTCACTTGTGTAGATGATTCGAACACATCCCCTAACTTAGGTTCCATATTATCTACCTAATGTTTGGATGATGTATTGTGTAGTTGTTCGTCACTACTTCCTTTGCTCCCCATCTCTTTTTGTAAATCATTACCATGATACTCTCGAGCTTTTACTTCATCGGTCATACCTGAATTTCTAATGTTCTCGTTATTAAGTAGAATGTTAAGAAATAGATCCTTACATTTATCAAGCCTTGATACAAACTCTTGCTCTTGTTCATGATCCATGTAAATCCCGTGCAGCTCGAAATCCATCTCATTTAACCCAGAAAATGGCTCGTAAATTCCAGCAAATGGGTCATCATAACCATCGTCTGAAGAACCCATTTCTAACTCCTACACATTCACAACCATCATCAGGAAAAGAAAGCAATTAACGAAGGTGATTGAAACTTTTTTTCTTGTAAAAATCATGATCAAGGACCGTAATTTCTTACTTCTTCAAAACCCTTTTATCAGAACAATGCTCCAAAACCTTAACTTCAGACAACGAAAATGCTTGAAAACCCTAATATCTTCCTCCACTAGAGAGTTTAACGTTTGAGTTCCTACTACCTTCTTCTGAACAAGTAGTAGCATGGAAGGGTGACAGGGTATGCATCTCAATGTTGACGGAGTGTACTTTTGTTAACGGAGGTTACCTAGCTTCAGTGACATCACTTGTTCCCTTTGAATGATTACCAGTTGCCAAAGGGTTAAACTGGTTAAAAGCACTAAATGAAACAATAGGTGCAAATGTGAGGCATTTGTGGAAAAGAAAGGACTTTGGGCATAATTGATCTTATTTTGTAAAATTGAGGGCTTTTATAGCAATATCTAGGGATATTATTCGGTTTGGAACCGAACCGAACTGAACCGACCCAAACCCGAATAAACCGAAAACCGAATAAGGGTAATTATATGAACCCAAAACCGAACCAAATAAGTAATACGGGTTCGGTTCGGTTTGGGTATTATTCGATTTGGTTCGGTTCCGACCCAAATAACCCAAATAACACGTACAAGATGATTAAGGAGCCGAATAACCCGAATAACCCAAATAACCTAAATAACATTTACAATGTAATTATAAATATTGTATTTTGTATAACTTTTGTAGCTTATGATAAACACAAATAATACGGATTAACTATTCTTCATATATAAAATGTAAAATCCAACCACCACATTCTTAAGATATAGTTATTAAACAACATATTAAACACTAAACATTAAACATCTAAAACACCGAAAAATCTATCTATAAGTATATAAGTTAAACATTAAACATTATGTGAGTATTTTGGATAACGATCGATAGAACACAAGATCGAATAAACAATTGTGCAAGTGGAAAAAAATGTGACTTTTCATATTCAGTTCGGTTCTTTTGGACCGAATAAGCCCTTATTCGGGTAACCCGGACCGAATAACCCGAAAACCGAATAAGCCTTATATAGATACCTGAATACCGAATCGAATTGCTTATTCGGGTCTAATTCGGTTCGGTTCGATTCAATTTTCGGGTCAAATTCTTATCCCTAGCAATATCTATGTCTTACGACGTCGTTTGGATGATCAATTCACTTTCCGCATTTGTGCTACTACCAGACTACCACCACACGCTCAACTATCAGTTACCTGCAAAACCCTAACAAACCCTTCGGGTGTTTAACGTACGAAGACCCAGAGCAGTTCGCCCGGCGATGGAAGAGACGGCGACGGAGCTTATAGTCGGAGAACCACCGAAGATTCCGACTGAGCCACCTCCGCTGGCTCGAAAATCGGTGATTGAAATGTCAGCGGACGAGCTGGTGGCGAAATCTATAGTTCCGGTGAAGAAGGAATATATATGTCCTGTACCTATCAGACTTGGTAGTGATAACAATGGACCATCAGGCGACGCTGTTCCTGCCTCCACCACCGCCTCTGCACGACCTGTTAGTAAAGAGAAAAAATCGAAAAGACAGCTCAAAAGAGAACGAAATCAGGTATTTATCTGTGTTTATGCTTATCATTTAGATTTAAAAATGTCGTTTTTAAGGGATATAGTTCTTAACCCTCATCTACCGATACATGTAATTCAACTTGCAGGAAAAGCAATCAACACGTAATCTCTGTCCTATGGTTGCTAAGACAGGAAAAGCAGATTCATGTCCTTATAACGATAAGTGTCGTTTTAGCCATGACATTGAAGCATTTAAGGATCAGGTAAAAAGCGATAACAATTCTGTAGTCATTTAACTTTTTATTTCATGACATGGGAGACATTCTAAAATGCAGAAACCTGCTGATTTGGAAGGAAACTGCCCTTTTGAGGGCGATGAAGGTCCATGCCCCTATGGATTAGGTTGTAGATTTTTAGGTACTCATACAACTACTGATGTTGCAAGTGGAATTCCAAAGGGAAATAAATACTCTGAAATCAATGGACTGAAGAAAGATGTCCAAAGGCTATTGTGGAAGAACAAAATGAAGTTCCCTAAAGCAGATGCTGAACTCAAAGTCCTTGGTTTAATGGTATTAATGAATAACAATTAACACCCTTCATAATTCATATCATCTGAATTTAATAAAAAGGCTATTCTGTTCCTTTTTGTTTGAAATGTAGGGCCCAGCAAAATCAAAAAAGACACCCTTGACTAACAACGAAGAAGAAAATCAAACGGTTTCAAATGATTCTCATGTCACAAATGAGAATGGTTGTGGTGAAATGAACGAGTGCTCTCTAGAAGCTTCTGAGAAAGCTGAAGGAAATAATAGTGGTGATGATCCTCGACCCCAAAAGAGAGGAAAACCATTAAATGATCAAACTTCTGAAGTCATTGGAGAAACCAACGGTTTGTTTTCTTTATCCGTATGCTTCTCATAACCCCCGTTTGTTACACAACACACAACGACAGTTTGTACTGTGCTTGACATCCATCGAACTGACACTGATAGATTATACATTTTCTTTGTATATTGTGATAGGTTCAAGTTATGAGGTGAAAGATGTAGACATAAATCCACCTACTACCGAAATAGAAACCGATAAAACCCTAAAGTTACACCCACGTGAAAAGAAACTAATCGACTTTAGAGACAAGCTATACCTTGCACCTTTAACCACAGTTGGGAACCTTCCATTCCGAAGGGTTTGCAAAGCATTAGGTGCTGACATCACATGTGGCGAAATGGCAATGTGCACAAATCTTCTACAGGTTTCTAATGCTCTACAAAACTACAATGACATAAAATCTGAAATTCTTAATGTGTTTTTATTTGTGACCAGGGTCAGGCTGCTGAGTGGGCCCTATTAAGGCGCCACGTGTCAGAAGATCTGTTTGGGGTACAAATATGTGGGGCCTATCCGGACACTGTTGCTCGAGCTTGTGAACTAATTGAACAGGAATGCACAGTGGATTTCATTGATATTAATATGGGATGTCCAATCGATCTTGTGGTTAACAAAGGTGCTGGATCAGCTCTCCTTTCAAAACCAATGCGTATGAAAAATGTGATTCAAGCAGCTTCTTCCACAGTAGACATTCCAATAACTATAAAGGTTAGGAATTTTATTAATTAGGGTTAAGGGTTAATCTCGAAAAAACATTATATATTAAATAGAAAAATATTACCATAATTTAATTGTTTTTATGTGGTTCAAAGGCACGAACAAGTTACTATGAGGGAAGAAGCCGGATCGATTCTGTAATCGCTAATGTTGCGGAATGGGGAGCGAGGGCAGTTACTATACATGGTAGGTCCCGCCAGCAGCGTTACACAAAGCAACCCGATTGGGAATATGTTTACCAATGTACGGAAAAAGCCCCTCAATCTTTGCAAGTTCTCGGAAACGGCGACATATTTTCGTTTTCTGATTGGAAGACTCACAAATCCGATTGCCCTCAGCTTTCCTCTTGCATGATTGCCCGTGGCGCTTTAGTTAAGGTCTGTTCTGTTATATCCCCATTTCACCTTTTCCGCGTGAAAAGACGTAAATACCCTTACGTTATGTTTTTGTAATTTTTGTATGTTTGTAGCCGTGGCTTTTCACTGAAATTAAAGAGCAGCGTGACTGGGACATAAGTTCGGGTGAACGGTTGGATATTTTTAAAGATTATGTTCGTTTTGGACTCCAACATTGGGGTTCCGATACTAAAGGTATCATTGTACTTTTAACCTTTTTTTTTTTTTTTTCCTTTTTAAAAAAAAGATTTGTAAATAGTTTTGGAAATTATCAGGTGTGGAGACAACGAGGCACTTCTTATTGGAATGGCTTAGTTACACATACAGATATGTTCCATTTGGTTTGTTGGAAGTGATACCACAAAAGCTTAACTGGCGTCCACCTGCTTACTTTGGGCGTGATGATCTGGAGACATTAATGGCTTCTGAATCTGCAGCCGATTGGGTACAACTTTTGTTGCATGGCTTACAAGTGCAGTCGTCGTATGAATATAATATAATTTTTTTTTTTTTTTTTTTTTTTTTTTTTTTTTTTTTTTGTGCAGATTAAAATCTCGGAGATGTTGCTTGGTAAGGTTCCGGATGGGTTCGTGTTTTCACCGAAACACAAATCGAACGCTTTTGATAAAGCTGAAAATGGATGATTTTGGTTTTTTATGGTTGGAAATGACTTGTCACAGTTTTGAGGAAATGCAAAAGTGACTATTGTTATTGTTATTGTTATTATTATTGAAATTGGTGAAATTGCATAGTCGGTTAAGAGTTACTTTACTAACATGTTTTTTTTGTGAGAGAGGAGAAAAGCTACTTCCAAGACTATGGAAATTTGGAACTTGTTTATGTTTGGCTGGTTTGAGTTTTGAGATTTAACTGATATATTATTTTGTTATATTATAGATTAGTTGTGAGATCCATGTATTATATGGGTTAATTTAAACAAAAAATTAAATATAAAAATCAAATTATTTGAGACTTTGAATTTATAAGAAAATAAGAAAAAATAATGAATTATTATAATGAAAGTTTTTTTTCGTCTTTTAAATTTAAACAAATAATTTAAATAAAAAAAAGAAACTAATGAGCTTTAATTTTAGGAATTTTGAAATTAAAAAGTAATTTATTAATGAATTTGATATATCTATTTATTATTATATTTATTGCAATTATTATATTAAAATATTATGTTAAATTTAATAAAATAGAAAACATTATAAAATGACATGTGAAAAAAATTAATTCAAAATAATTACAAAATGATATTTAATAAATTAAATGAAAATGTGACAAGTGGAAAAAAAAACCTTATTTATTAGAGAAGATTATAAAATAAAAGGTGAAAATACAAATTTTTTAATAGATAATGGAAATTTATTTTAACCAAAATACAGTTATTAGTA